TTAAATTGGTCAGAGGGAAGGTACAGAGATAACAGGAATGAGGTACTGAGATAACAGGAATGAGGTACTGAGATAACAGGAAAGTACCAAAATATCTTGTTTACCATAATATTTCAGTGGTGCAAGCTCAAAAAGACAATTATCTGATTATAACGTCATTTTTCAAATTATTCTTGAGAGTTAATTTTTTTAACAAGATTTTATTGTATCATTCAAGGCAAGTAAATTGATGCTTTCTGTTTTCAGTATGCAATCATAATGATGCGAGTGGTAATTTTGCGTGACTTGATGCTCTTTGTTCCATTTACAAAAACCAATAAGGAAAAGACCAAAAACATGAAGACAAAACTTTTCAAGTTGAAATGCTTCTATTATGTTGAAGATTTTGGGGTGGAAATTTGAATGAAAGATTTTCCCCATTGAAACTAGGCACATTAGTATGCCACTACAGTGTGTACTGATGAAACATGTGGAGGCTGTGTATCTGTGAATTTAGCATTTGGAAAATTTCTTGAATGCGTAAAACAGTCATATTTTATTTACTGTGTTACTCCAATTTTACAAGAAGTCATGTAATTTTGGTGGAGCATCAGCAACCGTGGAATTTGATTTTCAGGAATTTCTCTGAAATTTTCTTTTGTTCCAGTACAGTACAGTGAAACCCCCACATGCAGACACCTCAACCTGTGGACAATTCAACAGAGGGACACTTTTTTCCCAGAAAAAATCAATAAAGAAGGCCCAACATGTGGACACTGACTCGACATAGGGACATTTTCTGATAAAATTGCAAATACATTTCAGGCCAAATGACAAGAAACAGATATTTCCAACCCTAAAATGGATGAAAGAAAAGTTCTTTGGCATTACTTTCACCAAATTACCATCCATTTAGCTAATTATACCTCCAGCATAGAGGGACTTCTACTTCTTTCACTTTAATGTTATTTTTGTAGATGCCAAAATGTCAGTGTACAGTACAGAGATACACCTGCAATGCTCCAAATGTTCATATCAAGTTGAAAATGTATTCATTAATTCAAGTTCAAGTGGCAAAAAAATTTTTTCAGGGAATTCTGAAGAATATTTCTTCCATAAAACGCTGATTAAAAATTATATAATGTGAGTCTATGGGAAAACAAGACTTGACTTAGGGACATTTTGACTTGGGGACACTTTGACTTGGGGACACTCTTGATGCACCAATTACGTCTGCATCTTGGGGTCTCACTGTACCTGCAGTGAAGGAATTTTTTTGTTTCAGAAAACATTACAGATGCTATCAGGCTCCATCTTGATAATGTGGAAAAAATGAGAAAAATTTACTTCGATAACATTGGTTGATTTCCTGGCCACAAAACAACATATTTCCCACATTGAAAATCCCAAATTCGTGGAATAAGTGTGAAGGAGTTTCTCTTGAAAGAAGTTTTTGATTTTTTTGTCTTCGATTGCTCTATTTTTTCAATGTTCACAGTAATTTTTTTTTTACTTTCAAAGGGTGTCAGAAGCGGAAAAAAATGTTCTTTGTTAATCCCGTTAATTCCTTTTCCAGCATCCAGAGGAGAAAAAAATAGAGAGCAAATAGAACAAGAATGCGAATCAAGTTCGTGCCGAAGTCGCGTTGTGGCGAATTTTTTAAGCGAGTCGAATGGTAGGAAACAATCACGACGACGAAAACACGCAGAGAAAAATCACTTCAATGATGAATTCAGTGAGTGTCATGGAATTTTCCAGTGTGTGTGTGTGTGTGTGTGTGCGTGTATGTCGGTATTTATTTAATTTTATTTTGCTACAGACTCACGCGTAGGAATCTTGGCACAGATTCAAAATTCTTGAAAGTGGCTTCTATCGTATGCTTCTGCTATTATTTCTAGAAGTATCAATTGAAAAAATCTTCTGTTTCAATTTTTTTTTAGTTTTCTTTTGCAAAATTTGCGTCTCGCTGACGTCACGAACTTCAAAGCAGGACACCCTGGGTTCAATTTAAAAATCATCTATTCTGTTACATATTTTTCTGTCTCTCATTTAAGAAACGAAAGATGCAGTTCACTCTGAAGGTTGGAGGACTTGAAGAAAATGCTTCAATCATGAAAAAGCTCAAGGAATTTGTGACCAGAAATCTTCTCCTATTGGTGACAGTGTCAGGAGTGATTTTTGGAGTCATATTTGGTGAGTGGAACAAGCCAAACTATTTGGAAAATTCGCAATGCCAAATTTTTTTATGCATGGGATATTGATTCATTAATCAGGTTTTGGACTAAGACCACTTGGCCTTTCACCCACTGCAATCCTCATCATGTCTTACCCTGGAGAGATTTTCATGAGGCTCCTGAAGCTGATGATTCTACCTCTTGTGGTATCTTCATTAATTTCAGGTTTGTATTTTATTTTTGTTTTTAAAAAAGTTTCAGGGATATATAATGTTCTTGGGAAACCTGCTTGTATAGCTTAACCATGTCACATGAGCTTTGTTGAAGACCTTGCCACAAACTTTTCAATTGGAAAAAATCTGAATTGTATGATATTTGTATACATGAACTGATATTTAGGAACCTTTCCTCTGACATTTTTATGTGACTCCAACAAAATAAAATAAGTGACTTGAGGTATCAATATTACACACATCTGACATTCCATCAAATATGTCCAACATCAGATGGTTTCTGGATGAAAGCTGTTGAAGGTGTTTTGAAATGATTGTCTGTGAAAGGCATGAAACAAAGAAGAAGTGTTTTTTCAACTTTTCTGTCAACTCAGTTCTGTTGAAAGTGCTATTTTATTGAGTGATGATTTGATCCTATGTATTGGACACTGAAGATTGTAGAATTTCACAACTTTTTTGGAATCATTTTGAAGATTAGCCAAAGCGGTTGAGGATGAGGTTTTTTATTTGCCTTTGATTGTGAGAATTGGACAACTCATTTTTTAGCTTCAAAAAGCTTTATTAACAAGTGTACTAGTATGCCTATGATATGATGAACAAATTTAGTGTGACATGTCCATGTATAGGGGGCTTCTTTGAAATTTTTCAGCTTTTAGCCAAAATAATTTCCTTCATGAATTCTTGGAATAAAGTCAAATTTCAGGAGACCAGAAACTAATTCGAGTTAGAGAGATTTTGAGTTGGTGCAACAAACAACCTTTTATTGTTAGAGAGAGAAAATAAGTACTACTTGGGATTTTTATATTCTGAGCCTTGAATTGTTTCAGAAATGAGTTCACAGAATGCTGAATTTGTAGGCATGGTTCATTTGCCCAATTAGACTTACATTTTCTTTAAAAATGTATTGTATTGAATGTATTGTATGTTTATATGTATTGAGTGGGAACATTTTTACATTTTTGTTGCTGTTCTTTATCCTCTGTCAATGAAATAATAGCCAAAAGGCCTCCACAAAATTTCAGTTATCAGGGTTTGAAGGGAAAATCTTTGGAGTTGTGGAGGCTTCTTGCGCATTGTTTCTAAGGAGACTTGAAAACAGTTGACTTGGGGAGATTCAAGTTAACCAGGTTCAACTGTTTGAGGTGTGGACTATATTATATGTCAATGTTTGGATGACTGGTATAAGATAATTTAAGAAGGCAGGGTTGACATTGGGGATTGTAATAACTTAAAAGTAGTGTGTGTTAAGTATTTTATGTTGCTTTTCAAGGTAATATCTATTACAGGATCTGCATCATTGAATGCCAAGATTAGTGGGAAAATTGCCCTGAGGACCATCAGTTACTTCTTGGCAACATCCCTGCTGAATGCTGTCCTGGGCACAGTTCTGGTGGTTTTGATCCATCCTGGACAACAGTTTGACTCCAGCATAGCACCCAACACCAAGCAAGCTGCTTCAATTCTGGACAGCTTCTTGGATCTTGGCAGGTAACAAACATGAGGCACTTACTGTAAATCAAATTTTCTTCCCAACACAAAAAAAAGTGTGTATGATCAAAAAGGAAAGAATTGGTTCTACTTTGAACCTTCTTTTCTTGTTCGTTTTTTTTCTTGCTGTGTCTCTCTGGTTCTTTCTTGCCTATTTGTGATGTTTCAGAAACTTATTCCCTGACAACCTGTTCCAAGCGACATTTGAGCAGGTGAAGTACCTCCTGTTGGATATTTTTGTTGTTGTATTCCTCTCAATGCCATCTGGTGGATGACCAGTGTTCCCCTTCTTGTTAGGTCCTTTTTTCCTGAACAGTTTTCTGATGCTTCTTGTGTCTCCATTTCTGCACTCCTCATCATAACAAGTCACCTTCAACTTCACTTCAACAATTAACCCTTTCCTTCTGATGAGGTATATTGAAGGGGTTGCTCCCCACTATAGACTCTGGTGGCTAGTGTTGAGAAGGAGGTTGCTCCTCCAATTCTTCAATATGGTGTTCATTTCTGTACTTCCTCAGGTTGAGGTCATTATCTTCATTTTGGAGTGAGAGGATATTTGCTCCAATTCATTTAATTTTATCTGAATCATTTTTGTGTCACCAGGTTTCTTATATTTACTGTATTTACTTGAGTACCAAGGGTACCTTTTTTCTCAAAATGGAGTCAAAGGGGGCACATCATATGAGGTATACATCTTTTTGAGAAGTTTCAGGAATTTTGGTTTTTATTTTATTTAATTCTAATGGGAAATATTGAACCAATGTGAACAGAACAGCTGATTTTCATTTGCAGTAAATAGTTGAAAAATTTGTTGAATTCAGGATAATTCATGTCTGGAATCTAATTTGTGTACAGTATTCTTATTTTGAAATATTGCAGATTTAAAGTCATTAAAAATGAGGTGCATGTCTTGCTTGGGATGCACTTTTATACAACATTGGACGGATGTGAAAACCCATGGTGTGCTTGGTACTTGATTAAATATGGTATAAAGTGTCCTACAGTATTCAAATTTTATTGTGACTTCTGTTGTGTTTCTAAGAATTCCTTGAAAATTTCAAATTCAGTATCTGAAGTGAATGTTCCTTGCCAATGCATATTGCCAAGTTTTTATGAGTTTAAATTGAATATTCATGCCTGAAAGTAAATTGCAATTTTTGAAGAAGTTTGCTGCTCAATACTTTTTTAAGTTGAGTAAGTTGAGAAAAGTTTGTTCATTTCAAATTTATGCTTCTCTTGAATGGTCTTTTTTAAATCTTCGGAAAAAGTTTAATTCGTATGCATCAAATTTAATTGAATATTTAAAAATGATTGTATCTTTCTTTAATGTTTTTATCCTTTACAGACCCAAACAGTGTACATTGACAAGACGGTCTTGATTGGGAATGGAACTGCTGCCATGGAAATAGTGGAAAGAGTCAGGAACTTGACCTACAGGTGAGAAGGTGAAGAAGAAAAATCAGTGCTTGGGTCATTTTTTTTTTGTGCTTGGCAAGTGTGCCAAGTTTCGTGACCTTTGATTTATAACATGGTATTTCTGTCTCTTTGAAATGGGATGATAAATATAAGAGGACACTCGTGATATTTTTTCAAAAGCAACACTTGAACATGTTCAACAGAGTACCTTGTGTAAAATAACTTTCTGGAACAAACTTGTGCCATGAATTGATGCCTTGTCTTTTCTCTCCATGTAGGAATGGATCAAACACTTTGGGAATCATGGACAAAACAGACTAAAAACCTTGTCAGGACCCTTCAGAACCTTTCTCTCGATCCGGTCACCAACTCGAAAAGGAGTAGTAACTACTTCACTATGAAACATAACACTTCAACTAGTACACCATTCACAGAGATTGTTGGAAGTGTATTTGAAATGTGGTGATGGTACAGTTGTTGATGCAATGCTTACCTTCCTAAGCCCATCAAGTGCCAAATTTCATGCACATCCATATTAGCCTGATTTCAAATTATTTACATTTAAGGCTTGCATTTTTTTTACAGTTTTGGGTCACAAATTTGGCAAAAAGCTGAGGTGGCACTCAATTGGGGGTATTATATCCCTGGAAAATTCACTTGAGGGCCGATACGTACAGGCTTGTCTGCAGAATTGTTGGGCCCTTGAGTTTTTTTTTTACAAGAGACAAGGCCACAGGAAAATAATGTTAGCCTGAAATGAATCCTTTCTACTGGCACTAAATTGAGATTTGACTGTATATAGGTTTTAAAATTGATCCCAAAATGGGTCTCATGACTGGTACTATCTGGTTTTTCTGCAAAAGACTTCATTATGCAGGAAAATCAATTTCTTCAATTCTTGATGAAATTTGAATACTGTTAGGTAAATTTGAGTACTGTATACACATTCATTTTGATGCTTATGTGATGCTAGAATGTCACCAGAAACTGAATACATACAAATTCAAGATATGTATTTCACCAGTTCTGAAGATCAGTTTTCCTTTTGAAAAAACAATACCACAAAAAACACTCTGATCATTGCCCAGCCCATCAACCAAATATGTTTTTAAGATTTTCCCATTTTGCTGGATGAAATTCAAAATTCTAAAGAACCTCGTCAAACTTTTTTCATCAAGAATCTCTTCATTAAAATTTGACCAAAATGTTTTTAAAAATTAAAAACCAATTTTCTGTTTTTCTTTGAAAGACCCAAAATGGGCACCATAGCAAGGAATGGGTAGGTTTTTTAATTTTCAAGTCTGATATAAATTCAGAGGGAAATCAAGTTTCATAAGCTATACAGTATTTGCTAATATTACTATACCCATTATAAAACCCATGTCAGGCATCACTGTATAATGTTATGATGTAAATTTCATATTTTACTTGTATTCGCATCTTTTGAATATTCCTTCAGAAAATCATGAATCCTGGCTCTTGGACATTGAAACTCTTTGAACTTTGTTTGTAAACTGAATCTGGGGCTCATTTTCATAGGTTGACACCCTTGGGAGTCGCAAGTGTAATTTGTGGCAAGATTTTGGACATGGCAGACTTGGCAGAAACCATTTCCCAACTGGCTCTGTTCATTCTCACAGTTCTCCTGGGGGTCTTCACTTACCAATGGGTCATCATCCAACTTCTCTATTTCTTCTTTGTTCGGAAGAACCCCTTCAAGTTTTACTGGGGTCTGGCCCAGTCCTGGTTCACGTCTTTTGCTACCGCTTCAACGTGAGTTTTGCTTTTCAATTATGATCTAACGCAGAATCGCACACAATATGTTTTTGAGTTCTTGAATATTATACAGTACAGTACTGTATTTTATTTTAGCATTCACAGTACAAGGAACAAATGGATGAAGAATTAATTTTTCAAGTCTGCATGTGCTTCTTTTTGTTTATGCAGATATTTAATTCTTCATTTGTCCAATTTTACAGAGTGTTCCCATATTACAAATGTCGATTGAATGCTGCATATTTTGGCATTTTTCTGATTGAAAATGTACACCATATTTTACCAAAGCCAACATATCGGGAAAACGTAATTTTAATCAGCCAAAACCTGCTCAAATCTTTTCAAATGTTGGAGAGTTTTTTACCATTCCTGTAGATTCCGTGTAGAAGATTGAATTTTTCAAATGTGAAAAGTTTCTATTTCAGTAGAATATGTGTTAGTACAAAAATTTTCATAGAGGCATTTATTCAACCAAAATCATCATACAATTTTTCATTGTAAATCTATTGTCTGTGTGATGCATGTAAAAAATCCCAAATTATTATTCTTCTTTTGTCCAATTTTTTGAGGCTCTCAAAAATTTTCATTTTGTAATTCATTTTGATTGTGGTAAAAAAATTTATATCCAAATTAAGATTTTGAATAATAATGGACTTTAAAATCCATTTTAGAATGTGATCAACAGTAAATATTTAAAAAACATACCCAGTAGACCTCCAGGCATGCACTTGGAAGAGAAGAGCTAAATTCTTTTTTTTTTAAGTCCACTTGATTGGTAGAATATTTTGTGTGTGTGATTGAGTTTTAAACCAGAGTTTCTCTGTATTCTTATTGCTGAATAAGCCAAAAGCCCTCTTTAGGCTACAAGAAATATCTTCATTAGAAACTTGGAATCCTTGATAAAACCTAATCAATCTGTGCATGGAGGCCAAGACTCTAAGCCTGCTGTGTGCCTTTTGAATTATGCATTAGGCAACCAGAAAACAACATTCTTGTTATGGTTCCATGTTTGTAATTACAAATACAGTACACCTAACCTTGTATATTTGTTCAGACAGCATGTTCTTGAAATGTTGAAGAACTTTTTTCCCACTTTTGAAAGCTGAAATGAGGTCTAAAAGAAGTTTAAGGGAAGCACAGTTAGACATTATTCTTCAGACTACCTTCTCTGTCTCCCTCTAATTTCTTGACAAATTATTCAAAACTTCTCCTCAAGCGTTCATTGGACATTTTTGGAAATACTGTAATTGAACTTTCCTGTGTGCATAATGTTTTTTTTTCGTAAAGGTGAACCAGGACTTTCTAGCAGAATACTCTTTTTTGCTCTCTTCTGATGCCTATTTTATTTAAATACAATTTTCTCATATGATGAGAAAACCAGCTTTTCATCACAGTTCAGTTTCTGAACAACGTGGTTCATCCTGAGAATAAACCTAAGAAAGAATTAAAATGATTGTTTCCAAAACAATTTCGGGTTTCTCCTGCCCCATAAAAAAGGACTATGTTTTTTAGCTTGTGTGAAACATTTTTGCATGCTGATTTTGTTTTTGTTTTTTGCTTTCAGAGCTGCTGCTTTGCCAGTGACATTCAGGTGTATGGAAGAAAACAACAACGTGGATGAGAGGATTTCGAAATTTGTCCTCCCAATTGGAGCCACAGTCAACATGGATGGCACTGCCATGTTTGTCTCAGTTGCATCCATTTTCATTGCTCAGATCAACTCCATCCAACTGGACCTGGGCCAATATGCCACTGTGGTGTAAG